ATTACAGCTGTGATTATTAACTAAGTTAACTTTCAGCCACATCAGCCTCTCATTATGTCACATAATCAAATGTTCACTTTGTCTGGTTTTGTTGCAGTCTGCCCCATATTAATATAACTTGGCGCGTTGTTTGTGGAAGACTGGTAAAAAGAATGCTAATTTTTATATAACATAATAATGTAAGACAACTTTGAATGAAATATGCCAAGGCTCTTTACCATGGCTAATAAATAAAGCAAATTAGGTTTAAACGGTTTATGCGCACGTGAGGCAGTTAACAACAATTGACCAATGAACAACAGGGTACCGAATTTTTGAATTTGTTCAAGTTCACTTTCTCTAACATTATCGAAAGAAAAAAAAATGTCCGATCGCAAAACGACACTTCCACCTCATGCACCACCTACTGAGAGCACGCGTGGGGGCCTTCACCACCCAACGCTTCATGAAATCCAGACAGATTCGATATCTTCTTTAGCCAGAACGTACTGGACAAGCAAGGAACCGTCTGAGAGAGAATGGCTACCCGTCATTGTCGAGCAAATATACTGCGAAGAATTGGAAAATAAACGATTTGAGACCAGAAAACTAATGTTACTTGAATTCAGTCAATACTTGGAGAAGGTATATAGGACTGTTTTAAAGTTGATGGTCGATTAGATCGAGGAACGACGCTGGTAGAGTTCGCAAAGAGACATAGTTACATAGACTAAGTGAAAATGGAAATTAGTTAATGATATTAATTGATAATCTTTAGTATTTATGGCCTAATTACAATGCTGACAATGCCACACTAGCACACGTATTATCGATCGTATTGATGGTCATCGAAAAGTTCAGAGAACGAGTAGCTGCTTGGGGTAAGCTGGGTTCATATTACATAAAAAATCCAATCAAGTGATCCTTATCGTTTATCATAGAGAACGATGCTAAATTATTCTTAGATATCTTTGTTCAGCTACCAGACGAATTTCCTAAATTTTTCAATCGAGTACTGCACCTAGCCATAGCACCGGTTGAGGAGATATCACTGCAAATGAAGAGGTTTCTACTGATCTTTTTAATTCACGCATTTCAAAGTTTAGAGAATCCATTGGTGAGGGTAGAGTGTATGAGGTAAGAGCATTGTGGCATTTATCTCTTTACTGAGCAATAGCCTAATCGACATATCCTCTATTGCAGGGTTGTGTCAGTGTCGATATGGCATTGTTTCGCTATGTCATCACGCCGAGAACAGGAGTTCAAATTACATAGTCATTTACGTAAAGTTTGGAAAAGATCAACGAAGAAATTAGAGGAAGCAGGTACTAAATACTTTTCGATCGAACTATGTGCCTATCACAAAGGGTATACTAAGACTAATCGTTTTCTTTCTTCTTTCTTACAAATTGTTTCCACGTATGTATTACCAGAACCCTCTATAAAGAAGAGACTCATATTTGAAAGATCATGGCTCAGTGAATTAATAAACCATTTTATCAATATTTTGTACTCCATTGATGAATCAGACGCTAGTAAAAAAATTTTTTACACTCCAACAGCTTTTAATGCTTATTTCTTGAGCATGAATTATTGACCTTTTGTAACTTAACAGTCTCGGACGATGCGCTTGCATATTGTGAGAGGTTCATCGAGTTTATGATTGACCTAGAAGCACAATTGCCGACAAGAAGATATTTCAATGCGTTACTGGATGATCATCAGCTTATCGTACTATGTACATTGTCCCCGTTGATGAAACGCAAAGAGGGAAAGTCAGTATTTACGATTTAATAGTTTTATTTTTGTGAAATTTCCATATTTTAGAATAATGCAAGATTTCTTACAATAATCCCATTGGCAGCGAATTATTTAAGCAGTTATTGGAGATATTGAAGTTTTATGCTGGATTTGAGATACATGATCACACTGGTTTGGCATTAACAGACGATGAAATGACGGAGCTGCATTGCAAAAAGCTAACCAATTTACAGGTAGATAGATCTCGTGCTTATAATATTACTACTAATTAGAATATTTTGTCTAACACCGTCTGAATATGTAGCATATTGCTTTCCAACACTTTGGTGATAAATTAAAACTATTGGCATTGGCAAACTTGTCCTCAATTGAGCGGCGACCGGATCTCTATAGGCACTTCAATGCTATAGATCATCCAGAAATCATCAAGCTCTGTGAACTTCTAAATATAAGAACAACGAGGCTGAACGATAATAGTCCATACGATAAGGATTTTCTCATAGAAGTATTAATTGGAAGGTTTGAGAAGCGAACGAGTCAAATAGACGCGATAAATGCCATGCCTTTATATCCGGATGAAGTATGATATTTCTCGTTACGTCTTATAATATTACCTCAGAGCTAACTCTAGTATGTTCGCATTTATCTAGAACGCGCTATTTGACGATGCAGTAGTGAAAACACAGTTCTATTCCGGAGAGACTCCGTTAGCACTTCCTAAGCTCAACCTTCAATTCCTTACGCTTCATGACTATCTATTAAGGAATTTTAACCTGTTTCGACTGGAGAGTACGTATGAAATCAGACAAGATGTGGAAGATGTTGTCAAAAGATTAGCACCGAGAATCAGCTATCCTTCATATGAAACGGAATTCAGCGGATGGGCACGCATGGCGGTAGAGATTGAGAGATTCAGGTGAGATATGGAACACAATGTGTGTCACAAGAAATTGGGATTATCTAACCGTATACGTATTATTTGATGCAGCATTGTCGAAGTTGCAAAGCCTAATCTTGGGGAATCGAAACCGTCCCAAGTTAAAGCGGATGTAAGCATTGTATCATATGATTATATTGCTATTTTCAATCTTTTTATTTTTTATTTTTTATTTTTTATTTTTTATTTTTTATTTTTTATTTATCGTTTATTCAATGATCCATAGATTACATTTAACATAGGTCGATATACAGAATCGATACGAAACGAATGGGACTCCTTGAAACAACACGACGTGCTTTTTTTACTAACGATTCAAGCTCACGAACAAACCGGCGAGAAATACCAGGATGATATGCCTTTCAGGTTATTATACATATGTGTGATATTTTCTGATGCCAAGTTCCACAAAATTTTATGCTTTTCCCCGTGTTGATACAGATCACATTTTGGGCTGAAGTATGTACGCGGTTGTGAGATTAGCGCTATCATCGGTGATGATGGTAAACCTATTGATGAAGTAGGAAAGCCACGCGTGGAAGATCGACGGCCCAAGATTAGTGGAAATCACCGAACAATACGCGTCCTACTTGACACTAACCAATACCAGGTGATCATTAGTTTATCTTGAATATTGCAATGATTTTGACTTATCTGACATCTAGAATGATCTTGTTTATTTCAGTGTTTTAATTAATCGAATACTGTATATTTTTACCTAGATTGATATAAGTAACTATTCAATGAAAAAGGAAGAAGATGTTTATGAGACATTTAACGTGCTCATGAGACGCAAACCTAAAGTAAGATCGTATATGCAGTATTCCGTGCGGTTCATGAACTAACTTTGCTTTACTACTAACTCAATGGCGATGTTCTAGGAAAATAATTTCAAGGCTGTCTTAGAGACGATTCGTGACCTTATGCAAAGTGAACTTGTGGTTCCTGAATGGCTGCATAACATATTTCTTGGTTATGGTGACCCTGGGAGTGCTCATTATACGTGGATGCCTAGTTTACCAAAAGAAATAGACTTTCATGACACTTTTCTGGATTATAACCATTTGAAAGAGAGCTTCCCAGGAATGGTAATTTAAGTGTTATTATTTGAATATTAACTTGATATACGCGATGCTCATATTATCTCGATATCGTTAACAGATGATTACACCGGCAGAAGGGTTTACCGAACCAATACCTCCTTACGTTCTTCGCTTTCCAGATGTCTCCGAATCTTTACCTCCCGTAAGAGGAAAAGCCGGAGAACGTGGTAATAGGTCTGAGATGAAATTAGACCAGAAGATAATAACGAGAACGTATACATTGCCTAACATGGGGCCATATCCCTTCAACCAACCAAGAAAGAACATAATAAAATTCACGCCAGTACAAGGTATGTTCCATTGTCGGTGAATGGACTAAGTAAAGCGAATGTATATTGTAATATGCTTAGTAGAAGATGTAATACGACTTGTTATTTTTTCTGGATAGTGGAGGCCATTCGCGCAGGGACAAACCCCGGCCTCACAATGGTAGTCGGTCCACCTGGTACAGGGAAGACGGATGTCGCAGTACAGATAATTGCCAATTTATATCGCAATTTTCCCGATCAGCATACCTTACTAGTAACACACAGCAACCAGGCATTGAATCAATTATTCGAAAAGATAATGGCACTTGGTAAGCCAATCGACCGAGATGACTCAAATAAAGTGGTTGATGTCTATCTAATATCTTTATACAAATTCACAGATGTTGATGAACGTCATTTGTTGCGTCTGGGACATGGTGAAGAGGAGCTTAATACAGAATTGAGTTTCAGTAAATACGGACGTGTGAATTCTTTTTTGGTGAGTGACCGACCGTCTCGACTCTGGGCATTAATTATTGAATTGATTCCTGATATTGAGAAGATGGTTTAATCCGATTAGGAAAAACGCTTGGCGTTGCTGGAAGAGGTAGACAGGCTTGCTAAATCTTTAGACATCGGTGGTGAACATGGCTATACATGTGAGACAGCCGGATACTTTTATTTGTATCATATATTATCTCGTTGGGAACCCTACATTGATAAAGTTCGGCAGGGCCTCGAAAGTGGGAATGGCAAAGTCGAAATGATACGTGATGAGTTCCCTTTCATGGCGTATTTCGCCAATGCACCTCAACCGCTATTCCCCCCTGATGCTAATTATAGCGAAACGGTAGAGATTGCAGAGGGATGCTTTCGGCATCTAGAGAAAATCTTTACGGAATTAGAGGAAATTCGTGGATTTGAATTGTTACGGACTAGCTACGATCGAGCAAATTATCTCTTGACTAAAGAGGCCAAGATCATTGCCATGACCTGTACACATGCTGCCCTGAAGGTAAACAATGACATTTATTGTTTTCAATACTTCTGTGATTATTACTTAGAACGCTCTATTGTCGGCTAGCGTCGTGAACTAGCGTCATTAGGCTTCAAATACGACAACGTGGTAATGGAAGAAGCTGCACAAATTCTTGAAGTCGAAACGTTCATACCTTTGTTACTTCAAGATCCTGAAGATGGGCGAAGTCGATTAAAAAGGGTAATTCTAATAGGAGACCATAATCAATTGCCTCCCGTCGTAAAAAACATGGCATTTCAACAATATGGGAACATGGAACAAAGTTTGTTCACACGTTTTGTGCGCCTCGGTGTTCCAACTGTCGATCTAGATGCTCAAGTAAGGTTTCTACAGTCATTATTTATTGATCAGTAGTACTGATGCTAATGCAAGCCCCTCTTATGAAAAGGGCCGTGCTAGACCGCCGATAGCAAAGTTGTATAATTGGCGATATAAGAATCTCGGTGATCTTCCGGTCATCACAAAACAAGAAGAATATCAACGAGCAAATGCAGGGTAGGGACTTGTACTAACATTATCGATGCCGCTTGATCTTTATGTTGACTTGAAGTATTCATCATTATCAATGTGTTTCTAGCTTTACCTATGAATATCAGTTGATTAATGTTGGAAATTATATGGGAAAGGGTGAGACAGAACCAGTGCCATATTTCTATCAGGTACGTCTTTAGCTTGGCTTTTCTTTAACGTTTCAGTTGAATTTGTGGTAATTGTTCCTTGTCTTGCTGATAGAACCTCGGTGAAGCCGAATTCATTGTCGCCGTATATCAATATATGCGATTGCTAGGGTAAAATTTCTTCTCGCACAATGATTTTGTGGACGAATTGGTCACATTTACTTATGACAATGTGTAATAGATATCCAGCTGAGAAGATCTCGATACTTACCACTTACAATGGCCAAAAAGCATTAATCCGGGATGTTCTGAACAAAAGGTGTTCGTGGAATCCATTATTTGGCCGTCCTGCCAAAGTGGCCACTGTAGATAAATTTCAGGGACAACAGAACGATTGTATGTAGGCTGTATGAGTTCGTGTCTTTATCATCGCGAAGATTCTTTTTTACAAAATCTTGCATTTACTAGATATATTGCTGTCTCTTGTTCGCACGCGTTCTGTTGGCCATATTCGGGACGTAAGACGTCTGATAGTGGCTATGTCACGCGCTCGTTTGGGCTTATATGTATTCTGTCGGCGTGCATTGTTTGAGAACTGCTATGAACTTACGCCAACACTCAATCAGTTACTGCAACGACCGGATAAGCTCATGTTGGAACTTAACGAGATGTGGCCTTCGCAAAGAGATGTAAGTTTGGATTTACAAGTGCAAAATATCCTGTGATAATGGTACTTACTCAACCTATAATTTTTTCTTCTAAAACAGGTTGAAAATCACGATCAACCTTTCACAATCGATAGCGTCGAGCATATCGGTCAGTATGTATATCAGATGATGAAAGAACAATTAGATTATGCTAAGCAGCAGAAAACAGAATTAGAACAAGGAATGGTCGTGTCTTGAATTCTGCCTTCTTTATAATAAACCTTCATTAGATTCAAAATAAAATTAAATGCTGTATTAGTTCCTGATTGTGTGATTTTAAATATTTAAATGCCACTTACCACAAACATGCACCTTTTTTATCTAGCGTGTCTGAATCTTACTAAAGCAGTGCAAAACTTCGGTGCTTATTAATGAAATATTATTTGCCATCTTGAAACGTGACGCTGATGTTGTACAAAATTCTGCTTTCCCCACCAACATAATATTTCCCCTATTACTGTACCCTGAATGACCTCTCATTACATACAATGCAAAAGATTTCAGGAGAGTATGATAATTCATTCAAAATCGGTAACGAGAACGAAGATGAAGAGATTATTTCTCTAGATAATATTCGTGAAACTCAGTATCTCATAGTCCCAGAAGGGAGTTATCTAGAAGATGATTCTTCCAATGTGGGTGAAGAAAGTACTATGCTTTCTTCAGCAGACACAACAAAGATGCCACAAGATGGAGGGAGTCTTTTCGAGAGCTGTTTGCTAATGTCTAATAGTATTATTGGAGCTGGTATGTTGTGATCTGATATATGTGTATACTTGTATCTACTTTCTCGAAAATATGTCCGTATTTGCACTAATTGGGTCATGTCGAATTATGTAGGTATTATCGGTTAGTAAAAGGTCTAAACAGAGGTACACTGTTCTTACTTCCACAGCCTTCAGTTGAATGAATCATTCTAAACTGACGTTATTATATAGGACTGCCGTTCTCCTTTAAAGAGGCAGGCGTATGGACGGGAATGATTCTCTTAATTGTGCTCACAGCCTTAGTAGACTGGACGATCCGATTATTAGTAATTAATGCTAAATTATCCGGCAGAAATTCGTATCAAGACGTAATGTATTTTTGTTTCGGAAAGTCCGGATTGATTGCTATTTCTGTATTTCAGTTTGCGTTCGCCTTTGGTGGTAAGTTAACTGTTAATGCTTTCTTCGGTTAATTTTTTTTGTTACTAACATTATCTTAAATTCATAGGAATGTGTGCATTTTGTGTAATCATAGGTACGCTCACGTTAAACTGTCATCGAATATACAATACGTTATGACATATAACATCTGTTCAATAGGCGATACTATTCCATCTGTCGTGGCCTCAATCTTTCCCAGTATTGTGAATGTTCCGATTCTCGATCTGTTGACCCACCGTAGATTCGTCATAGTTTTATGCACAGTGTGCGTATCATATCCATTATCCCTGTATAGAGACATCTCAAAGTTAGCCAAAGCTAGCGGTTTGGCGTTGATATCGATGGTTGTAATAGTAGTGGCTGTTGCTGTCGAGGGACCGCAGGTAGCATCCGAGTTTCGTGGCCGCTCTGAGGTCAGATGGGACTTTATCCATCGAGAACTATTTCAGGTAGGCGAATTAACCGAACTTGTGTGCGTCTAATATTCACCAATAACGAAATATTTATCGCGATTAACAGATTTTTACATTAACATAATATAGGCCATCGGGGTAATAAGTTTTGGTATGTATCCATAAATTATATATAGCTCTTCCGAAATCGAGTTGTAGTTAACCAATGCCCAATCTCTTCAAAATCTCGTTCATTGTAGCATTTGTTTGTCACCACAACAGCCTCTTAATTTTCGATTCACTTAAAAAGCCAACATTGAACCGATTTGCTGCTGTAACTCATTTTTCTACTGGCATTTCAATGATTGCTTGCATGCTGATGGCTCTTAGTGGTTATCTTGTATTCACAGATAAAACAGAAGGTACTGTCATATTAAAACCAAGCTTGAATGAAATTACCTCTTCGTGAATACTCATTTGGCTTGATCTAGTCTGATATATCTTCTTCATTCTGCATTATATCAGGCAACATACTGAACAATTTTCCCAGAAATAATTTCTTGATAAACATTGCCAGATTCTGCTTTGGCTTCAATATGTTTACAACGCTTCCATTAGAGGCATTTGTCTGCAGAGAGGTACGTGACGGACACATTTGGCGTTCCAATTACTGTTCTCTTTAGCCAATTTTGCAGACACATAGCTTAATCATTTGTTTTTATGTATGTTATTAGGTTATTGAGATTTATTTCTTTAGTAATTCGTCTCAATCATTCATGCGCCACGTTATATTGACCACATCATTAGTTGGTGGTGCGATGACAATCTCGTTGTTAACAGATGACTTGGGTATAGTGCTAGAATTGACGGGTGGATTTTCTGCAACAGCACTGGCTTACATTCTTCCGCCTGCATGCTTTCTAAAGCTTGCATCAGGTGATTGGAAGAGTAGAAAGAAAATTCCAGCAATTGCATGTGTGGCATTTGGTATAGGCGTAATGACACTAAGCACTGTACTCAGTATTGCAAAGATAGTGACCAAGTAATGGGTCTAATCGATTCTTTATTGTCTGTATCTATCATATAAATCAAGTATAGAAAGAAGATTAATTATTACATTATAGACTGAAGTTTCAGCAAACTAGAGTAAACAATCTCCAGTGGATAAATTACAAAAGATGTGATTGTAAAAGTGAATGCGAGAGTTGCCCGACCCCGATCATCAATTACTGAAATATGCCGAATCAATATGTTATACATCATCTCTATCAAGAAGCAAATGCCATCAAAGTCGGAATGTCCATTAATATTCCCCTCAACCTTGACAGTATGCTTTCAAATATACACAAACGTCTTTTTCCTCTAAAATACGCAGTGCTTCCGCAATGACATCTTCCCTGCCATTGAATTGTCGCAGTATATCCAAGCAACTGATCATATCTCTTCTTAAATTCAGCTCTCTTGTGTCCTCGGTCCAGAACCCACTACCCCAAGGATCACATAGCCATACGTCCTCTTCAAAATCATACTTGTTATGTCTATTAAGATAAGGGGCCATCCATCGCATCACCAATTCTCTTGGCGGTGTCAATATTTCCGCCAAACACTCAAACAATTGCAAATTATACGACACTCTGGTTAAAAGCGTAACAAAAGCATCCATTCCGCATGCTGACGTTGGCGAATCATTCCACAACTTCATTGCTGCTTCTTCGTCGAATGGTGCATTAGGTGCAGCGGTGCGGCGTTTATATTCAAGCCAGAGTTCTAGACCAGGTAACACGTTCGACTTTAAAATTATGAGAAAGTAACGCTCTTGATGTTCATTCGGCGCTGTATACACTTGAACGAATCGTTCAACGAAGCGCCGCAGATCTGAAACCATGAGGGTGAGAGAGGTGTATGACAGCGTGGTAGGCGAACCTTAATATATAGTGTCTATTTTAGTTGTTAAGGTAAAATTATAAAATTGGGTTACACGTATGTATGGTGTAAAATAGCGTTACACCGTTTAATGTTTCCGAAATAGCATTAGTATTAGAATATATACAGAAATGCTGGTTAAGTTTGTTTTTCGGGCATAAAGCAAGCGCATACGCAGCGAATTGGTTTCGCTTTGCAATTAGTATTAGCAACTTTATTATTTTTTTATTACAGAATAATCGCTTTCGAAATAAAGATGATAAAAAGCAGCGGCGTGATTTCATGAGAGGAAATTACTCAGATAATGAGCACAGTCTATTTCTTTGGTCGCTTTGGCGCAGATATATTTTTTTGTGATATCTTTTGATGTCATCATTAACATCCATTCTTCTATTCAGTATCATTGGCTACACTGTGTAGTAAAGCTTTCATATTATTATCATGGAAGCAGCAATAGCTTTCACCAATCATCCACCAATTTAAATTAACTTATAGATTTCAAAACTCGTTTGTTAAAAAAGGTTGAACCAGCTCGTTTTTTTTTCATACAATATTTATTGAACAGGAGTTGCAATTGCGGTTGCTCAAAAATATTACGAGAAAAGCTTGTTAAATTATCCGAGCTTTCACCAGATTAGAACAAGGTATATTCAACGGGATGCAGTGTATTAAGCTTCATTAGGCGGTTGAAAAAGAAGGTCGTCTACTATTGAGAATATTAAGTCATTCGATAACATTTGATCATTTGAAAATGAAAATACGTTTCGCGTCTTATCCCGAGTTACACCGTGTCATGTGATACTGCCTGACACTTGTGATTTGTTACTCTCATTTTTTGGAGGGTTTCTTTCTAGCATACTTCAACATGAGCGGAATAAACAATGCAGAACAGCAGCAATATTATCAGACCTTTCTAGCTTTAAATCCTATAAACGGCTATATAGGAGGTGACATGCAGTTCAATTTCGATCATTATATATTAAACAAAACTACAAGTACTAATTATGGGACCTTCGCGTCAGGCCCACAGGCAAGAGAATGGTTAATAACTTCTGGCCTACCCATTAAGGCTCTCGAACAAATATGGTGATTGTTTTATTTGTCTCTTACGCTTTCTTGCTCCTTATGCTTTATACTGACATCACATAACTTCCCAAAGGGATCTTTGCGACATAGACAAAGATGGGCGGCTAGATTTTGATGAGTTTGTCGTAACCTATAAGCTGACCAAAGATCTCAGTAGTGGACTCTATTCTGATATTCCACAAGCTCTCCCAGCACACATGATCCCTCAAAGTAAAATACATTTACTTGGAGGAAACTTCGGCGGTGGTCAAATGGGCTTTAGTGCTTCGCCCGGTATATTTCCACAACAGACTAGCTCAATACCCACTGGCGTTGGCGGTTTGGGATATCAGACACAACAGATTGCACCTCCACCTGTCCCACAGGTGCGTTTTGTAGAGTAGGTTTTGAGGGGGGAAAAATAGGAATTGGAAGCAGAAGAAGCGAAGCAAGATCATCGGAATGCAATTAGGATGTGGTGATAAAGACTACATTGTCTGGGTTTTTTATACATTTTTTGATTTTGTAGCAAAGTTTTGGTGCATTTCCTACTGCGCCATTGACGGATGATTTTGACTGGTATATACCGCCTGCAGACAAATTCAACTATGAAAACCTGTACTCAAAACGAGCTAACATTCACGGATATGTTCGATGTAAGATTTCAAATTGTCTTGTGTGATGTGTTTGGTTTGTGAATTATTCTAAATTGTTGTACTCTAGTCGAGTTTTTCGAAGATCTTTTTCAACAACTTGGCATTTCTCCAGAGGAATGTTACGGCGCATGGTATGTTGTCCTGATATTTTGTTTTTCTTCTTATTCTGTATCTGCTCTCTATTGGTACTGTTATTCCCCGTCTGCGTGTGATTTTTTCCCACCACATACTCATCATCAATTTCTGTTGTTACATTTTATAATCAGGAAAATGGTCGACGTGAATATGGAACAACAGCTTGGCAAAGATGCAGCTCTTGTATTCTTACATATACTTAATCAACGCAGTAAGGGTAGGCGTATTCCGAATCAAATGCCGAAGCCACTGAGGACATCACTGATGAGGGGGAAACTAGATTATAATTATAATGAGGCTTTGGATTCATCTTCGTCAAAGTCGCGATCAAGCTCAGGATCGACAAGGATGTCGGGTGAGTTGGAACAAACTTTTATAGCGGTTGTTGTTCAGTTGATATACGTTATGTATGACTTTTGTGCGAATTTTGTGTCTTCTTGCCGCATTATTCTTGTTAATAACTTTCTGTAAACGCTCGCATATCCCTGATGTCTGAACAGCCAAGAAAGAAGAGGAACAGCTTTTGAAGCAGCTTGCAGACCTTGATGAAAAAATAAAAGCAGCCGAGGAACGAGCTCTTTCTAATTATACATCGGCTCTTTCATCCAACTCGACTCCCAAATCGGAATTTACTCGACTTTACGAGTTTAAAAAGCGTCAGCTGGCTGCGTTATCTGATCGCGATAGGCAGAGTGGTTCCCTAGAAGATTTTATTCGGAGAGAAAGGTCGTGTATTAGAGAATTACAAGATGGGATGAGCCAATTGAAGACGCAAGTTACGCTGCTTGAAGCACTTTTCGATGCTGGTAAGGCTGATTTGAGACATTTGGAGAGAGATATTGAGAGTGAGAAGGTCGGGTAGGAGTGAAAAAGATTGTGATGGAAACCTTGTTTTGAGCCTTGTAGAGTATTATTAGCCGGCTTTTGTACTAGTTCTGTTGGGTTTTACTGTAATTCGTGTATTAGACAAATCCGAACCTTTAATACAGGAATAATAAATATTTAAAGATTCTAATCTATGGTGTGATATAATATACATCTGCTGAGAAAAATCAAAAAACATGTTAGGTAGACTTGACTATATTTAATATAAATGAGGACTAATGTCTCGCTTTTACAAGACAATTAACTATATACAAGTCTTCCATACTACCGCGTTTCTTCTTGCATTATTGGCTGTGATTCTATTAGTATATGATATTTAATTCTTTCTCCTGATAGCAAAGTAGTAATGTTAATAAGAGATATGGCTATACCGTCCTGTGTAATTTCAGTATCGAGAGTGCAACAAGCACAAATGAGATGACCAATATTGTTAAACAAGTAAGAATGCCATATAAGCAACCCAAAGAGTAATTTGATTCATTGAATAGAGTCTGTAAAGAAAATAGCAAAATTCGTTATTGTAGAATCCGATAAAATATAATAAGAAATAATATGTCTAATGCTAATACATACTGCATAAGATGCACCCAAGTGACTCATAATAATCCATGCAATGTGAGTGTATTTCTTTGGTGTACCGTAGCTCGCGAATGCAATAATCATCCAAGCGATGTTGAGCAGGATAAAGATACAAGTATTGATTGCGGAGACGAAATACAACGAGACATTAGGGCACGACTGACACATAATGACACCAGGTCCGATCGAGTGAGAGAGAAGTGTTATGTATGTTACAAGACCTGACATCAGACCAAATCCTAGTCCGCTGACTGAGTAAATAAATATTGAATGTTATGCTAATCGTGTCCCGGGAATTTGTCCTTCGATTAATAGACTATGGATTAACTTACCAAGTGCAAAAGTTGATCTATTGTATTTTGAAGTCGGCGTAACTGATACCAAATTCAACCCTTGCTCGGCTCGACTTGAACGATTATAGTGATATAAATGTTAATGATGTAGTTGACAGATCACTATTTCAACGCATGAACAAGTCAATTAAAAACTATAATTCTTGATCTGAACTGGCCTTTGTTATTATTATTGTCATTGACTTTCTATCAAGTAAGTCTGTTAGTCATCATTACCTTACAAGCTTATAATATAACCATCTGAACAGTTCTTGTAATAGTACACTATAGGCAATGGTAACCGGATTCAATGTCTGAACTGGCTTAACCACATACCAAATCGCAGAGGACAGGAGTATAGACAGCAGCCAAAAGAATGCACTAGTAATAAGGAAACGAATATTCAATAATGCTATTACATGTAATATATGAAAATACACATTCATACAATACCTGGACACCGTCAACAAGACCAACTGAGCATCTCTTGCGACATAAAGAAAAAATATACTTAATGCGGGGCCATAAGCTATGGCATATGTGATATAAAACCATTAATATACGGGAAACATGCACTTCTGAGCTTATATATCACATATGTCATTACTAACCAGTCAAAGCACATCCAAGAAAGGTTGTGAATGTCATATTTGTAAAGATCATTCACAAGTATTAATATTAATAGTATTTAAGTTTTGATGATGTCATTAATTCACGTGACACATTGTTTATCGCACTTATCATTGGTTTTCGATGAAATTTAAACGTACTGTCGGTGAACCGGACCCGTTCTAGCTTCACTGCATTCACATTCCGTGCAACTTTCTTGCCAGCTGTATCCAACTATGTCGTAGTAGTGCCTTGTATTACTGCTTACAAGACTCTAGGACTGGCAGGACTTGAGAGCAAGTACAAACAGAAGCAATAGTACAAGTTATTTCTAGTACTGGGGACATTTCTTTCTCGTTTTCTGCCACCAAAGACATGCTGTGGACTCACCTAAAGTCAAAAAGATGTTCTCAGCCATTGTCTTTCCACTGCCGGCTGTGGAACGCAGTCACGTTAACAAAGGCCTTGGCGGGAGACTAAAGTTGTGTGCAGAGAGAAAGCATTATCACAACCAGAGGAGTGATGTGAGTAATTGGGTTATTATTTAGTTATGGATCCAGCTGTCCGATTTGTAATGGAAAGTTATTTATTATGAATGGATTTGGGTTATCTTGAAAGTGATTTTTTACATAGGCTATTGCAATCTTAATCTGTTTATAAATATTTAGAAATGTGAAAGGCAAGCAAGAGTTATTAGTAACACATTTGATTATGTGACATAAATGAGAGGCTGATGTGGCTGAAAGTTAACTAATTTGACTAATAACATTTTGATTATCACAGCTGTAACCTATTACTATATAGAATTTATGTCAATAATTAATATGACTAATATTAAGTTATAACATGATTAATATAGGACTATGTGTATATTAAAATATAATATGAAACTAATTTACATTAAATCCACCATGGAACTGAAAATTACAGTACTATTAGAAGCATTTTAAAGAAAGAGCAAGATAAAAAACTTTACAGAAACCTGTAGTTTTTATAAATCTCTCTGTGACATCAGAATAAGATCACCACTATCTAACAGGCATCA